TCCTTACACCCTCTTCCAACAACAGTTCTCCTCATCATTATCAGCCCAGCTTCAATGCCACCCTCTCCTGATCTCCAAGATTTCAGCCCAACCACCTCCAGAACCCATGTGGACTCTGGGTTCCCATGTTGTATGTAAGTTCTCTTCACTCCGTATCAACATTCTAGACCTTCACCGGAAGCCCCAGATCCCAGCTCAGTGTCTGCCCAAGGCAGGGGGACCAAAAGCGTTTGTTGGTTTCTTGAATAAAATAGCCCTCCCCTTTTTCTGGAAAGGTCTGTCCTCTGGTTGAGAGAGGACCATCATTAGACTGATCCATTACGAAACAATAGCAATTATAATAATAATAAGCACAATAATTTTAACGAGTGTCTACTATATGCTTTATGCACATCTTTTTGTCTAAATTTCAAAACATTCCTGTAAGTGCTGTCATTAGCCCCATTCTAGAGATTAGGAAGGAGGCTTAGAGATGCTCAAACTAGACTGAGGTAATGGTTGCATAACCAGCGATTCAAATGCCATCGAACTGCACCCTTAAAACCCTGCAAAACAGTTAAAGAAGACCACTCCTGTCTTCCTTTCCTCTCATACCACGAACGCTTCTGACACCACATATGTGGTATTTCCCCCCCACACACACACACCAAGAAATTCCCTACGATCCCAGTTGGGTGTCCTGCCATCCAGTTCAGTTCTGACACTTTCAACCTGGAGACAGTGTCAGATCCCACAGGTTAAGGGCTCAGCCCCAGAAGACTGCCCCCACATCAGGCATCAATCACAAGTCCCATGTTGTCACCTGTACTTCTGGCCGACCAGCTACAAATCGGGGTTCCCATAATCCCCTTCCTCGTGTTTGATAGTTTTCTAGAATGGTTCACAGAACTCAGGGGCATACTAATTTATATTTATCAGTTTATTATATAATAAAAGATACAGATGAACGGCTAGATAAAGAGGTACACAGGACGAGCTCTGTAAGGGTCCCAGCTGTAGGAGCTTCTGTCCCCATGGAGTTCAGAAGTGCCACCCTCCCATTGTATGGATATGTGGTCAACAACCCAGAGGCTCTCCAAAGCGCAGACTTTCGGGATTTTTATGGAGGCTTCATCACCTATGCATGATCTAGCATTAACTCTGGAAGTCTCAAGCTTCTGATCATGGTTCGGTCTTTGTGGTGACAAGCCCCCATCCGAAAGCCAACCAGAAGCCCATCAAGAGTTGCTTCATTAGAACAAAAGACACTCCTATCACTCAGGAAATTCAAAGAGATTTAGGGACTGTGTGTCAGGAACCAGGGTCTAAGACCAAATAGTAGAATAAAGGATGCTCCTAGTGATATTATTACTTAGGAAATTATAAGCGTTTTAGAAGCTCTACGCCAGAAATCAGAAGCAGAGACCAATATGTATTTCTTCTATTATTTCACAATGCCCATCCCCTCAAGTTTAGGGGGTGAAAAAGGAATCTGGAAAGAATCCCCAGAGGTGTGGCTTTTGAGCAAGATCTTTAATGCTGAATGAGAGCTCACTGGGTAACAAAACAGAGACGTGGTTAGACCTATCCATATGAGCCCACCGGAAATTCCTGCAGCCAACATTTCCGGTTAGGAAGGCCAGGGCTGAAAAAGGAGGGTGTGGTGTTGTTGTCTTCTGCCAACAGTCAGAAACATTATTTTCAGAGTGGGAAAAAGAAAAGCGGGTAAATCATGCCTTGAGCCCCCTCCATCCAGACACTCAAGGGGCCACCACTGAAGTGTCCACATGAGACCTCAAAAAGGCATGTGATACAGAGACAGTATCAATGAGCAGGGGGGGTTCTTACCCTCTCCAAGAGGGTCCCAAGAGCTCAGTGCAAATTCTCATAGAGTCTGCTACTCCTACGATACTAATCGACTGGCAGCCTGGAATAAAGAGAAAGAATAAACTCAGGGCTCTTTTTTTTTTTTAAATTTGGCAGGAGCTGTGCTCACCTTAATGGGCAAATGAATAGGCACCCAGGAAAGGGGTGGTGTCTGTCAAAGATCCTCCTGTGACTGCTTAAATAGTTTGGTTGTAACATTCCCCTTCCTTGGATGGGGTTTTTAATCCATGGTCACAAAACACAATTCTCCCCTCTCCAATCCATCCATGTTTCGGTGGGCGAGACACGGCTTACTTAAAGTTTAATAAGTTTAAATATGCATAAGATTGCTCCTCTTGTAGACGTTGGTCTACTTACGTCTTACCTGGTGAATTCTATGAGCTGTACAAGGCTGGTTATTAAAATATAACTGGAGGCCATTACTGCAACGTAGCCATCAAATGCAGGTGGGGAGGCAGGGGTTACAAAAAAGCATTGATAGATTGTCTGTACCAGTACGGAGTCATGATTAAGAGCACAGAAATGGGGTCAAGTCCTGACTTCCCCCCCCACACACAACCGTACAACTTGAGACAAGTTGCTATACCTCTCTGAACCTCTTTTTTTCTTCACTCACATGAATGGTACCAAACTCCCAAGTTGGTTATGAGAATTAAATGAAGTTAACACTTAGCACAGAGCCTGGCACGTAAGTGCTCAGTGATTATTAGCTATTACTATGCGATAAAGAGAATTTGATCCCCCTGGGCCTCAATTACCTAAAATCCTCAGATTTATGGCTAAAAAAATCTTATTTTCTAAGCAGGCTGGAAAGCATCTCACATCTAAGAGCTATGTTTCTCTAAGTATAATTCCAATCACAGAAGTATCAAAAATACAAGTGTTCATTTTTAAATACTTTTTTTTAACAAGGTATTTGATCTTGCACATTATAAAAGCAAAAGGGATTATTTTTTTTTTCTCCTCTGGATCTAAGACCATAAGATAAGTTCTTTCAGACAAAAGTTTTAAGTCTGACAAACTATGCAGGCAAAAAAGAAAATTAAGCCTGTCCCAAAAGATTTCTGCCTGCAAGCCGTCTTTCCTACTGTGCTCAATGACCTCGTTTTTCAGCTGCAAATTCAGCTAAAAAGGTGAAAAAAAAACAACGGGTAGAATTTGTCTTATTGTGGTTGAGAGAAGACATAAAACCAGAGATTAAGGAGTGTAAAAGCTGGGTTAATTTCTACACATTCGAAACCACCGAGGGAAAGGGTTGGGCTGGTAAGACTGGAGATGCCAAGGTATTTGCTTGTGGCCCCCTCAGCTCTAGGGCTTGAATATAAAGAGCCCACAGAAATGGAAATCAAAGACCTAGATTCTGGTCCTATTTTTCAGTTAACTCTGTGACCCCCCCGGATTGTCCTCGAATTCCCAGGACGAAAGTAAATTCCTAAGGTGTGCCCCCACTTCACCTTCTCTGCCCTCCTTGTAAGCCATTCTCAAAACAGCAGCCAAAGAGATCCTTTTCAGATGCAAGTTGGATCTTGTCGACTCAAAATCCTCTGCTCTCCTTTAAACAAAAGGCCAAAGTCTTCGCAATGGTCCGCAAGACCCAAGACCCCGGTCCTCTCTCCACCCTCTGGTCCTGCCTCTCTCTGTTGCTCCCTCCGCTGCAGCCACACTAGCCACCTTGCTGTCTCTATAACAAGTCCCACTGATACAGAGAAGAGGCATGAGAACTAAGTATTATTATTAACCCAGGTTGTGTTCAGAGCCTAGGATGGGCTGATCAACCCTACGGAAACACACAGAACGAAGAAAGAGTCCTGCTGGGATTACTAACAAACCACTCCTACCAATGAAAGGAAAACAGGAAGATGGCGTCATTAAGTCCTACCCTACACCAAATACACCCAGCCATTCATTCGAGACAGCCAGACGGGAGGAACAACCTACAGAACGAAGGCTGAGATTACGAACACAGCTCGCGCGCGGCATACTCATACCGTCCAAGGAAAACAGGAAAATAGAGTCTGTAAACGGAATTCGGGGAAACGAAGAATCATATCTATAAACCGCATCCCTCAAACGCTCGGGGTCACTCGCCCTCCCTGTCTCTGAGAGGAGACCGCGCTCTGTCTGTGGAGCGTTAGTCATTCTCCAGCCAATTTTCTTTTGTCTCTAACTCTGGCGCGCACTTGAATTCTTTCCTGTGCTCAGCCAAGAACCCTCCCTCTCGGCGGAGGGCTTGGGTCCCCACAAGGAGGGATTTACCCCATCCTGCATCACCACCTCAGGGTACTGGCACATGTCGTTCCCTGCGTCCAGAATCCTGTGCCACCAGACACCGGAATGGCTCTCTCCTTTACACTCTGCAGATATTTAGCAAACGTCACCTTCTCGGGGATACATTCCCATTCACTCTACTTAAAATTGCAACTCCCAGCACTCCCAGCCCTTCTGAACCCCCTACTCTGCTTTTTTTCCCCAAAGTATTTATCACTATGTACTATGGGGTGAGGGGAAGGCCATGCTGGCCAAATCCAGCTCCCAGGCTGATTTTGAGACTAAAATCTGCCATTAACTATTATTTATATACCATCGATGTCTGCTTTGTCCTGCAAAGCCATAAATATTTGTCTGGCCCTTTAAGAAAATATACAATTTACCTATTTATCCTGTTTATTCTCTTTGCTCCTCCACTAGACTATGCAGCACTCCATGAGCGGGGGTTTTTATATGCTCTGTTTCCTGTCTGCATCTAGAACCCTCATCTCTCGAGCCATAATAACTGCCTGGCACATTGTTGGTGCCCAATTGTATTTGCCAAATAACCCCTGGCGAGAGAAGGCATTTGAAACTGCAGCTCATTGTTCACTGTTTCTCTTTTTCTGTTTTTCCTTCAGCACATACAATGAGGAGAAGATTAAGAAGATGAGGGCTGGAGTCATATTTCGCCCATTCACCCCCATCCACAGCTGCATCATTTCGCCCTCGCTACCTGAGGCTCACGTGTAAGTAGAGTCTCACGCCTGGCTCGTTTGCCTTGCTGGCTTATCAAGCAAAGCCGAGGCGAAGTCACTCAACCAGCTAGCACATCAAGAACTGTTGAGCTGTTCCTTTGTCCTCTTGAAAGGGGCATCGAGCCTGGAGCCAATAACATTATTCGGCATATAAAAATAACAGGAAGCAGACACAGTGATTTAGAGCGATGAGGTAAATCAGCTGGGACTGAGTCGTTCCATTCTTTACCAAGGCAGACCCTCTCATGTCACATAGTTTGCAAAGCCTGATAAAACCTGTCTACAGCCCTCGCCAAGCGTGCGCGACAACATCTCAGCCAGGGCTCTGGGGACACGTTCTCCCCAAGACTCGAGGAGCTATTTCCCAGAGACGCCTTGCTGTCTTCTGACCCGAGGCACGAACTCATCGTTGCACGGTGTCACGGGCTAACGAAGAACACTCTGGCTTTCTAAAACCTTGACGTCTTGTTCCCCTTGTGTCTATGCCGAAGAATTTCAAGCCCAACTTTTTCTTTTCTGCTCTTTGTTAGCACTTCTCAATGGGAAGATTTCAGACACAGAGGTAGAAGCTTTTTTGACTTTAGGGCAGGGTTTCTCAATCTCTGCATGACTGACATTTTGGGACAAGAAATTCTCCGTTATGAAGGACTGTCCTGTGTATTGTTGGGTGTTTGACAGCAAGTATGGCCTCTACTCACTAGATGCCAGTAGCACCCCACCCCCAAGCTGTGACAACCAAAAATGTTTCCAGATATTGACAAATGTCCCCTAGGGGCAAAATCATACCCCCGTACCTTCACTTTCACTGAGAACTACTGCTTTAGGGCAGCGAACATGGTACAATACATTCTAGACTTCTCTGTCCACTCACTTGTCAAATATTGATTAGGTCCCTACAGATGGAGCAGTGGAAAGCCTGGGAAAAATGTATATTCATGGGCCCCACCCTCAATTCATTTGATCTGAGCAAACTGAGGCTTAAATCAACTGTGGAAGTGACTTGAGAGTTTCTTGCTCATCTTCCTTCAATGCCAGATGGGAAAACTGAAGCCCAGAGACGGGGCAGAACCTGCCAAAGTTCTCACAACAGGAATCCTGATCTCCTGACGCCTGAGTCAGATCTTTGTATCAGGTTTGTTAGAATGACGACCACTGCCGCCACCACCACTATTACTACTACTACTACTACTACTACTACTACTATTATTATTATTATTATTATCTGTTATGCCCCAGACCAGGGATCAGTAACATTTTTCTTAAAGACTTAAAGAGAAAAAGCAAATATTTTAGCCATTGCAGACCAGATAGTCTCTCTTGCAACTACTTAAGTTTGCCGCTGCAGCATGAAAGCTACGATGAATGGATGTGGCCAAGTTCCAAAAACGTTTCATTCGCAAACACAGGCAGTAGGTCTACCGGCTGTAATTTGCCGACTCCTGCCGTAGACTGAAGGCTTCCCTTTCTTCTCCTTGGCTGTTAAAAGGCTCTGCTGAATTTGATGACCATATCAGTAACCTACTGCCGAACTGAAGACCACCTCAAAAGGGGGTGGCTTAAAACAGCAACTATTTGTTATCGCTCGCAAGTCTGCAGGTCGGTTGGGTGGTTCTGCAGGTCCAAGCCAGCTCAACTGATCCAGACCGAGTGTGCGTATGTGTGTGCACCTGGCTGATGGGTGTTGACCCATCTAGGACAGCCTCATTCACAGGCTGTTGGTTGGCTGGTTGTTGGCTAAGGTAACAAGAATGACTGAGCCATGTGTCTCTCATCATCCTAGCCCGAACTTGTTTGCATGGCGGTCATGAAGTTTCCAAGAATAAGAGCCCAGTCTCTTGAGGCATAAGCTCGGAATGGACAAATGACGCTTCCACCGCCACCTACTGGCTGAAGCAAGACATCAGTCCAGCCCAGATACAAGGGATGGGGGGAAAGACTCCACCTCCTGATGTGGGAGACGCAAAGTCACACTGCAAAGCGTGCGGATGCAGGGAGGGGTGGAGCATCAGGGCATTTTCTAATCAGTCTGCCAAAAGGCAGCAGGGCAGGGCCTGCCTGGTCAACTCTCAAATTCTCAGACCTCACATCAGCCAGTGTGGATCACAATTGGTCAGTCTCTTCAATCCCGAAGCAATCCATCCCAAAACCAGCTGAAAATTCTGAATTGATTTTGGGGAGATCAATTCAATCATGTCAAGGGAGACTTGACCTTTATCTTTAAAAGGGACAGGGGGATGGTCTCTAGGAATGAGAAACAGCCACTCCTTCCCTCTGAGATGGCTGACTTGTCCCTCACAGGCTTTGACGAGGGCAGTGCCTGCAATGTGTCCAGGTTTGCCCTGGGCAGTCAGCATGGGGTGCCTGAAATGCCTTCGTGTGCATTTTTTTATTTCTCTTAGTACAGGAGAAAAACATTGTTTTCTTCTCCAGGATGTTTACACCTACTCTGTTCTGGTTGGTATGGCAGTTTCAACAAAGTGGGCTATTCCGGTGTGCTGACCACAGGGTGCTGACCACTGGGTGCTCACCCAGAGTTCTGCACATGGGGGTTTTCTAAACAAGCTGTGTACACCCTTGGCAGCCCAGCTGCAGGGGCTGTTAGTTATGAACAGAAGAGGGGGCATCTCCCCAGGCCTTTCACAACTTTCTGGGGTCATGGTGAGGGTGATAGGCAGTGACAGGCACAGGACCAGGCACATGGCACCACCAGCTGATGCTCTTGGCGAAATCCTGGACATGGTCCAGCGTCCAGAGCTGTTGAAATGCGGTTACCTGTAGGAACCAAGGTGGTGTTAAGGGGGAAGAGAGAGACAAAAACTGGGAGGACTGTGGGCTTACAGGTCTTTGACATTAGAAGGGAGGGGACAGTAAATAATCTGTGGAAGGAAGGAAAAGAGGAAGGAGGGGACTCCAGAGAAGAAAAAGGTGAGCTGCTGACTCTGGTTTTCCTAAGATCTATTGGATGCAGCCACTCCAGCACCTGGGGATGGGGCGTGGGGCGCTTGGGGGCAGTTCCTCTTCAAGCCCAGTGAAACGGAAGCCTCTCAAGGGATTTCCAGGGTAACTCTGGGTGAGCTCCATACTTGAGCCCAGAGCTTGGGCTCCACCTTCAGAGGTGGCGCCTTCCTGGAAGCAGAGGGATGGATTCCTTCCTGCCCCTCTGGGCATCAGGCCTAGGAGCCCTGGGGAGGATCTACCACGGCAGGACTCAGTTTCAGAGAAGAGCAATTACACGGGTCCATAATGGAGGCATCACGCCCATTAGGGTAGAGGAGGCATCGGTTAGGGGAGGGAGGGGCACATGGGTGAGGATTCCACCTTATTTCCAGCAAAAATACAGCAGGTTAACCCTCTCCTGAACCCACCCTCAGGGTGCCCACTGCGTTAGCTGCGTCACTACCTCAAACAATCAGAGCTCAAGTCCACGAAAGCACAAGTCTCTGGGGTTACCCAGAACCGATTCAAATTCTCATTATACCCTCAGGGTCAAACCCGAGCGTGACCTCAGGCAACTAACTCCCTTTACCTCTCCGAGCCGCAAGTCTCCTGACTTTAAAGGGGACATAATCACAGTCCTCTCCTTATAGGGTGTGGGGAACATTAAATGAGATATTCATACCCCATCTCTGTCACCAACGAGCTGTGTGACCTGGAGCAAAGTGACTTCACACCTTTCTGAGCCTTGGCTTCCTCTTCTCTAAAATGTGGATAATCCTTCCTACCCCAGCAGGCTGTTGAGAGAATTAAGTAATGTGTGTAAAGTGCCCCAGTCAATGTTTGGCTCGTTGTAATACAAGAAGACTCCAAAATCAGAAAACGGAGGTTGGACATAGTGTTAAACTATGTTTTAGTTACATTTTCAAATAATAAGTTCAGTGTGTTTTTCTTCAACATCCAGCTACATTTGTGGGCAAAGGATTTGAAAATTTAAAAGCAATGGGTCCGATTGCTAACCGGAGGTGGGGGAAAAGTATAATAAATACACCAGTTTCCCTGTGTTTCCAGACTTCGACCCTTTTAGTGTATTTATTGTACTTTTACCAGATGAACGACTGCAAACCTGTAGGATATTAATTTTCTTCAATCCTCTCGTTTGCCTGAGTCAAGACCTCCAGCTGTGGGATGCCCCTATCACCTCTCCTACTGGCACAGATACCCAGTAACTAGGATAGGGTCGCTTAATATCAAACCATGGCTCTGCCACTTACTAACCCAGTGCCTTAACTCCTCTGAGCACAAGTTCCTTAACTCTTCTGAGCCTCAGACTCCTCATCTGTAAAATGGAGCCAGTGAGCACCTCACAGGCCCCCCTCAAAGGTTCAATGAGCTGAGGCAGGGGAAACACACAGGCCTGGAACATGGCAGCCGCTCTCTAACTGGGAGCCAGCACAAGCCCTGTGTCTGTTGCCATAACTGTGACGAAACATTATTCTGACAGGATCCCACTGTGCTCCCTCTCTCTGTCTTTGCAGGGAACCCCTCTTCCGCCAGCTCTGTGCCCTCCACTGGCTTCTGGAGGCCCTGACTATCGACCACACCCACCACACCATGAAGCCCTTGATCACCTGCTGGAATCCAAAGTAAGTCTCAGCCCTTAGACCTGCCACCTGCCTTGCCACCTGCCGTAACTAGCGATAGACTTGGCAGTAGGGAAGGAAACGCCTGTTTGTTCTTCCCCTCTGTGTGCTGTTTTTGGTGGGTAGGTTGCTTTAGGGGTTTTTCTGCGTGCTCTGTGGGCTCCAAACAGGGGCGAGCTGGAGCCCTCAGTTGTGAGAGCCAACTGTGTCTCTTCCCAACTCTGTATTTGGTGACGTCGCATCAGAAGCATGAAATCAATCAGCTATGGTGGGAGTATTTACACCGCAGGAATTGGCCGGCACGCCACTGGATGCACAGCTAGATTTCTCTCTGCCTCTCTTCTTGGGCCGTGTCTCCCCAACGCTATTTTTTATTTGCTCCTCTTCTTTTTCCTCCTCTTCCCTCCCTTTCTCTTTGTCCTTATTTTTCTTTCTCTTAAGAGTTTTTGGATTATATATATATAAAATATCCAAATTTTACATATATACATATGAATTATGTATATATGTATGTATACGCACACACACACACACACACAGAGCTGTTACTCCAGTTTAACCCAAGGGGGCACTCAGTGTTCTGGTCCCTGAAGCAGCTGGGTTCGCTCAGGCAGAAGCTACAGAATCCATTGTCTAGGCTAAGAAAAGTGGTAGGTGTGTCCCCACCACTGGAGAGGGCTCCGGCAAAAGCCTTGAGGCCACCGTTGCAGGAAATGCTTTGCACACAAAAGGCAGAACAAGGGACAGGCAGGCACGTAAAGGTGTTGGTTCTTTAAAAAGACTCATGTCGTCTGCTGTCTGCAAGAATGGAACAAAAAAGGTCAAGGACCCTGACTTAAGGAATTAGATTTGCTCTGTGAAAATCCCAAGCCGAGTTAAATAAAACAGTTCCCTCATAAATTGGAACTCCTCACTCCCAGCCCAATAAGCTGCTACCAGTTCCTTCTCACAGCCCTGCCTCACAGGTGAATTCAGTTTTTTTCTCCTACAAAATCCTGAATTTTAATTAACACCTTCCCCCTGAGGATATTTACCACCCATCTCCCACATGTCCACTCTACCCCACACCCCATTCATCCCTTGCAACGGAGCCCTGATAAACTAACCTCAAATGCAACCAGAAATATAAACCATGCATCTATTGATAGACCAGCAACTCCAATTGATTTCATGTTTTTGCTTGGGATAAATTTAAAACTTGTTGTTTTTTTTTTGGTTTTTTGTTTTGTTTTGTAACTCCAATTGATTTCATGTTTTTGCTCGGGATAAATTTAAAACTGTTGTTTTGTGGGGGGTTTTGTTTTTGTTTTTGATGCAATGGTTTATAATCTTTATTTTTTAAGCAACAGAAATCCTTTTTAAAAAAAAAAAAAAAAGGAAATCCTAATAGTTTAAAACAAATTTTTTGAAATAGGTTTATAACCTTTATTTTTTAAGCAACAGAAATCCTTTTATTTATTTATTTTTTTAAAAAAAAAAAAGAAATCCTAATAGTTTAAAACAAATTTTTTGAAATGGAGCTTCTATATGAAATAGAAGGCTGGAGGGTTCTGGGAGACCTGGGACCCCCACCCGCCAACCAAGCCACCCTAGTTATTGCCAAAACATCTTTGTGGCTCACAGAATTTGTTTGAAACCCACAGCCTTAAAACATTTCTCACAATGTTTTCTTTCAAACGAAACTGCTCAAGAAATAAATGAATATCATTTACTCCTATTAAAATTTTTTCAAAAAACTTCAGAAGCGTATGAAGTATGCTTCCCTAGAGGACACTCCTTTTGAAGGTCTGAGGTGTGTCCTGCCTCCTTCAGATCTTTCTAACGCCTTCCCCTTATAAACATATACAGATACACAAAATTTTTTACAGAAATCGGATCATATTCCATGTATTGTTCCCTACATGCCTTCCTCCCTTTTTACGACATCTTATGTACATCTTTCCCTGATGGTATAAACAAAGATTTTAGATGTTTAAAACAATTTCCACATTCCTTTAATAGAACACTTGTATTCTACGGTATGGGTGAACCATCATTTAGATAAGATAACCCTTTCTCGATTGATGGTTCTCAAGTTTTACATTTCAAATAGGACTGCCCAGAGCATCCTTGTGCATACATTTTGCACCCAGTTGAAAAGATTTCTGTTGGATAGATCCTGAGAAATGGAATTTCCAGGTCAAAGCAACATCTAATTTTTTTCACAGTTGATTGCTTAGATGCTAAGAAAAAGGTCCCTTAACAAGTGGACTTCTAATAGCATTTCATCTCCCTGAGCAAGCTACCAGCAGCAACGTTTCTGCCTGACATTTCAGCACCTGTTCTCCCAAACCGAGGCAAGAACATCACGTGGAATTTGGACTGAGAAGATAAAAAGAACCATCTTTATTTCCTTTGGTTGGTTTTAGAAATGTGCCCATAATGTGACCAAAACACCTGCAGCAAAAAAAAAAAAAAAAAAGACATAGAGGTCACATTGAGAATAGTGGAGGTTCTACGATGACTTGTCAAGGCAGAACCTGAACCAGAACCTCAGCCAGACCTGGTAGAAACACGCAGCCCAGGAACGATTCCCACAGAATGTCAGAGTATTTGTCGGGTTTGCTTTTTCTAGCGAACCATCTGCTCTTGATGGTGATTTTAGTTTGGCGTCAGTGCATGCTGGCAAATGTTTAATAACCAGTTTAGTTCTCCAAGGAGTGAAAAGCCATGATTTGTAGCCACACCAATGTCCATGGTGGAACCAGTCCTGCTATGGCTGATTCCAGGCTCACCAACATGATGTCGTCGAACTTGCAGTTGACAAGAGATGCGCAAGTTCCGTTTTTGGGAGCCAGTATGAGCCAACTCTAGTTCGGCACTATTTGAGATTGATTTTTTTTTTAATTATGAATATGGGGGGAGTGGAGATGATAAACATGTAATAATCAAGATACTCTGAAATAGCATTAAGTGTCATTAAAAAAATCGACAGGGTGATGTGATACCGACAGAGTGTGTGTGTGAGGGGGCCATTTTTAAATTGGGTCTTCAGGGAAAGACTCGCTCAGAGAAGGTGACATTTGAATGAAATCTCTGATTTCGCCTGCCTTCCTCTCAGCATGAGTTTAAGTGCATTCCTCCACTCCTGTACTCGAGTGGACATCTCTGTAGGAGTAGGGGGGGATGTGACGGGTTGATCAGCATGCACCTGTCACTCAGGAGACAGGATAGGGCGACCTGGGTGAGCGGTCCCCAGAGCTCTGATCTCTGTCCTCTCCCCGGTGCAAAAATCAACAGTTACCTCCGTTCTCCATCTCAGTCATGGACACAGGACTGCCTTCTAAACTGAAGTAATATGTTTTCCACCCTGAAAAGCAGGTGTTTTACCCCAACTACGGGATCAGAAAGAGTGAAGTATTTGAGAAAAATTACTCTGATTGCCACTGTGGAAAGACATCTTCAAGTGACTGATAGGAACAAAATGTGCTTGGTGGGTAGACTTAAAAGTGATGTGACCGTGCTCTATGCCCTCTTCGCTTGATTTCTGGGAAATGGGATCCTCCAGAAGGCTTCGGCAGGTAGAAATTATGGTCCAGAAATCACAGCCACTTCTCCCTCACGGATCCGCTAAGTGTCTTGTTCCCCGCCCTCCGCCAAGCCACACTGAAATCTCTGTTGGAAAATCTCTGTTTAATTGTTTTCAGTCCTCTGTACAAAGCGTCCCACCAAGTTCTTAATAAGCCCCATTTCATCTTCACAGCACCCCTCTGACATAGCTAATACCAGTCACCCATTTTACAGATGGGGAACACTGAGGCTCAGAGAGGCTATAAATAACACAACCACGCACAGCTAGGAAGCAGCAGGGCAGACAGAGAACGCAAACGGCAAGTCTGCCAGATTCTTGAACCCAATCTTAACCAACCAAGCTACACCCCTTTCCTGGTTCTGATGCTCAGCGAGACGTGCCTGAGGTCACAGACAGTAAATCAGGGGCATCGATTGGGTAAACTAGGTTAAGCTGCCATAATGAACAACCTCAAACTGTCGGCAGCTTAATGCAACACAAGTTCATTTCTTGCTCACCCTACGTGTCATCAACGTGGAGCTCTGCTCGTTAAGAGACGCCCAAGGGCCCAGGCTGGTAGGAGCTCCATCTCCACACCAGCTTCCACCCTCCGTGCAGCAGAAAAGGAAAGCTGCCTCGGGGACTGGCATGCTAAGGGCCACATGTCACTTTCGCACATGCATTTTTGAATGAAGCAAGTCACGGTGCTACGCCTGACTTCAAGGAGCCCAGAGGCCTGGGACTCTCCGGTGAATGGCACTGATGACCATCCCCCCGAGCCATGGGAAGGAGCCCCAACTTGCTTTGCCCTTCTCCGCAAGGTGTGGAGTCAGCCCGCTGTGGACGGCAAAGCTCCATGGTTTATTTATTTCCCACTGCCTATTGATCTTCCCTTTTGGTTTATTTGCTACTGAAAATGAAACATCAGAGAGACTGATTCCGTCTAACCAGGCCCTTTCTTTATCAACGGCTTTGCAAGAGCAAGGGTGTAGGGCCTTTTAAGATCTCTGGGAAGCTTGCTGCATTTTTCGCTCATTTAGCCGGCTACCCCAAGTTGCAAGAGATTTCAGGTCATCTTGGAAGTCGGTATTAACAGAAGACCTCCATCTTCCAGATCTGACCTGAATGTTTAAGATTTTGAAAGCCTGGCTGGGACCAGATTTAATTTTAAAAGAGGAAGGGGGTTGCTTTTGAACTTCAATAAGAAGGCTGGAGGCACAGCAGGGGCAATGGTAGCAAAGGGAAAAAGCAAAAAGCCCTGTGGTCTTAAAAGAAACACTCTAAAGCAGAAACGCTAAAGCTTCCAGTTGGGTAGCCATAAATCAGACTTCAAAAGTGCCGCTAATTTAAATATTGTTTATAGGACTGAAGTATTGCTGCTCCTTCCTCTGGCTGGATTTTAAATATTCCCTAATTTGATTACTCGGGGGAGAGGCAGACAGAACCAACGTTAAATGAGCTTCACCGTTAATTATTCAGAGGGCTTTTTATTGTGTAATCAAACAGAAAGTCTTACAAAAAGCTTAGAGGCACATTCTCACCCCGCCCTCCCCAGCCTGCCTTCCATCTGGGCATCTGGGTGCATTTCTTGCATTGTGGCTGTGAGCTGGTAGGTGCTCAATACGTTCTGTCACCAAAGAGTGCATACACCCTCCCCGTGTGGGCAGGTTAAGGCCTTTGATTCTGCTACTCAGACCCCCAATGTCACAAGAAGCCAGTTTTAAATGAAGTTGATCTCGACCACATTTTGCCTCCTGTATCTGGGCATCTCTCCTATCACTGGCACTCAGTAGCCCCTGATAACTTCAGACCTCTGTCAGTGCCTCCCCCTCGCCATCAAACTGGTCTGGCCATCTCTTTCGCCCAAGTCCCTAGTCTACGCTAAGTGACAGACAGCCAACTGATTTAAAGGATGCCAGCCATCTAAAAAGACCTTTCTGCAGAGAAAAGGGGATTAAAAAAAAAGAGACTGGATGGATGGACGGACAGATGGACAGATGGAAAGGTGGATGGGATGGATGCATGCAAGGAAGGAAAGAGATCAACAGATCAATCAATCAATAGACAGGTAGAGGTAGTTGAGAGAGCACACACTGAGTCTTCCTGCTTGTATATCACGAGATCCACCACCCCAGAGCCACAAATCCAAAATCCAAAGGGCTCTGAAAACTGTTTTTTCATCATTCATTTGGCAGCAGTATCTGACATAAACCAAACAGACTTGGTGGTAAAACTTGATTTGAAACTATTTATGTTCTTTATTTATCCCTCCTCGTGTGAATCTCCTTATATATCATTGCAGCAAAATTAAAGTATTTGATTACAAGATGCTGCCTCAGACCCCATTGAAGCATATTTCCTTTCCAAGATGCCAAAATTCTGAATTGGCTCATCCATCCGGTCCCAAGGGATTATGGACCATGTCACCAACAGAAACTGCTGGGGCTTCCATCTCATACACAGAAAGTTCTCAGCCCACAAGGGCAGGATCCAGGTTTTGTGGGATCTGAAGCTTATTTAACTGGGGATGGGGGTGCTTTAAGAAATAGAATACAAAATTACAATACAAAGTTAGGTACAGGGCCCTGGAGGGACCCATGCAAGTGAGGGTCATTCGATTCATAGTTGTTTTTTTTTCTCATCTGTAAAAACGGATGATAATGACTATATCAAGAGGTTTTGTTGATATGATTCAGCGAGAATGCACAGAAGCACCTTGCATACAACTTCCTATAGAAGTTTTGCTCAATAAACTCCAAGCCAGTGGTTTTCATTGTGCAATCCACCCCACAAGGTCCCCCAAACTCCACCCAGTAATTCTCTCTGTTACTTAGAAGTGCTCCTGTTTATGGCCATACCACCCTGAATGCGCCCGATCTCGTCTGATCTCGGAAGCTAAGCAGGGTCTGGGCCTGGTTAGTACTTGGATGGGAGAAGTACTCCTGATGGTGAGACCCTCAGGCACCAGAGCAGGCAGAGATTCAGAAACAAACATGCTATTAGCGGTGGTCTCTCCTAATCTCCATTTTCACTCAAAAGACCCTGCTATGGAGAACTGCCCCTCCCACGTCTTCATAAGTCCAGGAGGGGGAGGGGAATTATGAAGAGACCAACCGCCTCCATCGTCTATATATTGCATTTTCTTAAAAGAACTTGTAATAAACCAAGACTCTGAAAACGGAAAACTCATTAAGCTGTTTCTCACCCAGGGACCCAGGTGGAAGCAAGAGCACGATAAAAAAAATCAATAAGGACAAGTCCATGGGACAGAGGTGGGAACAATTCGTCACAGGGCCAAAGGTAACAGACAGCGCGTGACGACACCGCCTGGCCACAGGCATTTTTGCCAGTCTTTCCTCCGATGGACTTTTTTCTTTTCTAGTTGGTTCTCTGAATGAAGGGAAGTCAGAATCCCATGCTGTTGGATGCTTTTCATCAATTTTAATGAAAATGGTTATCGGGGGATTATAGGAAAAATGACATTTGGCTAGACATCACTTCATGGAGAGGGGGGCGTTGAGGAGCAGCTTAATGGGATATCACGGGAAGGAAATACACTCACCTCACTCTATATTTTGAATCAATAACAGTCATTTTTCTCGCCCCCCCCACCCCCACCCGCCAACTCCTCACAGAAAATAAGAAGTGATTCAACAGACAGGGTTTTCTACACATTAGAACATGTGTTTATTAAGAGAACATCAAGAAGTCTATCCTTTTCACCCCAAACTATTCTTAACCCCAAATCTCCTAAATTCATCTACGCAACAAACAAGCACCACAATAATCATAATGGCAAGAGGCGATTTTTAGGTATGTAAGGATGACCGAGAAAGCACACAACTAGAGCATTCGCTAAACCTTCCCATACCCACCGCCTACTTCACGACATTGGTAAAGAACCCCAAGAGACAATATGCAAACTCACCTTAAAAACATTAAAATGCTAAGTATTGTCGTGGTTATAGAATTTACAGAAGCCACTTTTTGCCATAATTGCAATGGGCCCGGTTGTGCTAAGGTCGCTAGGCTGTCCTAATAATCTTCTGGGGCACGATTATTATCTCCAGATGTGAAAGGAGGATGTTGAGGCTCAGAGAGGTTAAGTGACTTGCATGAGGTCACACAGCTGGGCAATGAGAGCCAAGAGTTAATCCTGGGTCTGTTTATTAAGCACTTTACTAAACGCTGAGCCTTCAAATGCATGTTCTCCATGGTATCAGGATTATAATTGCCCCTCACGAAGAGTTTCGCCATTTTCTTGCTCTTTCATCAGGGTGCCCATAGCTCTGAGACATAAGAGCATTTGTTTTTATAACAGAAAGTTGCTATGGAGATATCACGTGCATCTGTCTCCAGAGATGCGCACGAAAAGCAGCAGGAGTCACAGACCTTTAAAAAATGTCCTTCAGGAATATGCACGACTAAAATCGGAGGAGGAGAGAGTGAATCGCTGCACTTGAACTCACAAAACTAATTCCCTGGGCCGATCTGTGGGTCAAACTCTAGGCTGCAACACGATCTACTCTGAGGGTGGAGGGACCCGAAATTAGGAGTCAGGAGACCTAGCTCAGCCATTGTGATTCAGTTCACTGTGTGGCACTGGACAGGTCCTTTCATCTTTCCTGACCTCAGTTTCTCCACCTGTAAAATTAGCACTTTGAAAGAGAGGCTCTGATCAACTCACACAGAAAATGATATTCTTCTGTATGTACCAAGCTTGTCAGTGCCAAGGCCATGTTCGTAAGAGCCCGGCAAATTGAGAAATGAAAAAAAAAAAAATCAGGCTGAGTAAGGCAATATGGAGCGGTGAGGTCTGTGGCAGACAAGAATACTCCTGCACAGCTAAAGGGAAGAACCACTGCACAGCTCTAGCTCATTTCTGCCATGTGAGAATGGGAACCTAGGGCTTATCATTCTCAAGAACGACCAATAGCCTCGGTTTTCATGTACAAAACAATCCTGGGCTGTTAAACACGTTTCTCCATGGGCCACAGGTTTGGGACCCCTGCTTCTGAGAAAGTATAAGGAACCACTGCAGTCCCTGGTGAGGTGGAACACAGCAGCTGCTTAACACTGCTCCTGAGTGAGGTACCAAAAATAGAGAAGGAGCATTTGGGGATTTAAGTCGATTCAGAGAGAGTCAGTTCAATGAAGGGCAAGCGAGATGCTGAAACTGCTTGTCACATCCCCCCACCCCCATTTTACTTTTCTGCCACTATCAATTAATCAGAGGGGTCAGACTTTCACTCTGGATTTCCTGGCTGAGGTTGTTAATTGAATTTTAATTAGTGGAAACTTTAGAAGCACAGGATAAAATCCCAGCCCAAGGAAGATACACACAAAACTCTGGACATGGAAAGCTCTTCTGAGATCATCCCAGTCCCTCCTCTTTGTTTTATAGACGAGGAAACTGAGGCAAGGCCGAATGACTTGCTCAAGGCCTCCCTGAGGACCCCTGGCTCTGAGTCCAGGGCTCACTGCAAGACTCCAGGCTGCCCCCCATGACACAATCTGTCTAGTCTTTAAAAATGACATTGATCTAAAGAGCCTGGTTTTCAGAGTCAGGAATTCAGATTGTGTCAGATGAAAAAAGCAGAGGCTACTTCTACATATATTATCCCTGAGCCCTGATATCATGTCTCCCCAGGGTGGCAGAGAGTTGAAAAAATTTCCATCAGTCTGGCAAGCTCCTGACCAGTTGCAATGTCAGGACAATGAGGACACTGTATTAAGCTCCTAATTTATCCAAGAAGAGAACACCTCAACTTTTGGCATTTGCTTTTGCTTCGTCACAGTCATTTTGTAACCCACATGTCCCCTTGGAGATCTGGTTAAGCCCAGTTCATACTCCAGTTGCCCAGTAGGTTACACTCTGAAGCATTCTGTCATTAGTGCAGAATTTCACTAAAGGTTGGGTAAGGGGGATAGGTCACAGGAGAGATCACATCTTAAGCCTGACAGCCTTCCCCATCCCTCTTCCTCCCTCTTCCTCCACTGTGCAACCAAGAAATCCTTCCCCAATTCTAATGCAGGGAAGTTCCACCTACACTCAGGGCCCTACAAGGTAGCCAATGAAAAAATTACTTCTGATCGTATATGGTGGACTCCCTGAAATGAATCCAGCTGGATACAATTCTCTCCACCCTGTTAGATATTTGTTAAATGTTTGTGTGGCTACAACTTCTCCCTGTCTTCTTCCCTAGGGTATCAAACAGTATGAGTTTCATCTCAAGAAGACCTCAGTCTGCCCTGTAAGAGCTTTCATTTTAAATGTTATCAAATAAAATTGTTTCTATGAATCGAGTGTAAACTATAGCCCAGGCCCTTATTGAGCTCTTAACTCTGGAGCAGCTGAGGGCCTACTCTTCCCCACCATAAACCTGGTATTTTAAAGGTCATAAAGAATCAACAGCACAGGATCAGGGGCATTTTCAATGCCACCGAAAAAGGCTTTTACAGTATTTTTAAGCGAAGCATAATAATTAGCTTTGGCATTAGCCTGACCTGCGTTTGAGTCCTGGATGTACCACTTGGTACTTATGTGACCTTCGGCAAGTTAGGAAGCCTCTCTAAGACTTGGGTCATGAGTTAAGTGAGGATATGATCCCACATAGTGCATTCTGAAAGAACACCAGTTATGCAAGAGGATGTGTGTATATACACACACACACATACACACACATAAACACACACACACACACACACACACATTCCCCTGTAACCAATCCTCTCTGACTCCTTTCCTTCCAACAAAAATCTGTGTTCCCCTTACAAGACTTTCCCTTCCTACCCAGACCTTCTAGGACTTGTCATCCAGACCCTCCTGGACCCACCATAACCATGAGTCTTCCCCCAAGAGTGCAACCCCACTAGCCAACTCTGCTTCCTCCTACTCCACCTTCTAAAGGTTAAGCTTAGAATTTCTCCATCTCGTGTTCTTTGGAAAACCCAAATTAATACAAATCTTCATTCCTTGAGGCCCAGGCATCAACATGGTGAACAAGGAGTCGATGCATGTGATTTGGAGTCAAAAACCAAGATGTAGCGATTAGAGCCATCTTCTTCCACAGGTTAAAAAGCAATAATGATGATTATTACTCTAGGTCACGGCAGCATCACTGGAATTCGTGTTTGGCTTCCCGTAGTGACTGCTTGGGCAATCGTGGGACTCACTAAATAGAATAAGTCTCATCGCATTTACTTCAAGTAGTACCTATTTTTAAATTATCTCAATTTGCGACAGAAGGTAATTCCACACTGAGGATGTATCTCATAGTGTTTGGAAAGAGCTAAAAGGAATTCACATTCAGAGCCAGGTTTTCGCTTTTTTCTTTCCTTCCTTCTTTCCTCCCTCCCTCCTTCCCTTCCTTCCTCTCCTTCCCATCCCTTCCTTGCTTCTTCCCTCCTTTCTTTCGACCCTCCTTCTTCTTTTTCTTCTTCCTTCCATCCTCCTGTCCTTCCTTCCTTCTTTCTAAAACCCCCTTTTCTTCTCTCTCTCCTTCAGAGTAAAAAATTCAAAATTCCTGCACCACGTGCCACGAGCCGCAAACCAAGCCGGCGAGGCTCCACACTCAGTCTGTCTCGGACTAGTGGGGGCTCCTCTCCCCAGAGCAGCATGCTCTCCATGAACCCTGGCTCAGATGAGCCCCCAAGTGTGATCAACCAGGCAACGGGCAGCAAGGACATCGAGGACAATGAATCGTCTTCAACCAAGCCAGACGAAGAACCTCTCCATGTCAGTAAGTACGACCTGAGGTTTGAGCAATCTGCCCTGACACTTTGCCTTGAAGCCAGATATCGAGAACCCCTCCTGGTTCACTTCTGCCCCAGCTCAACTAAAGGGGACACAGGGGTCCCTTCACCCTGTGCTATTTCCTTAGACCCCTTTGCTTTACACCAGTGGAGATCAGAAACAAATCCTATAACCTGAGTGACTCCGAGCCATTTCTCCTTCGGAGACAGCCACTGGTCATCAATGTCTTTGTTTAAAATGTTAATAATATATTACATTTAGCCCGATTTATAAAAAATAGTATCATTTCAACATGCAGTCAGTATATAAACATTATTAATGAGATATTTAATATTTTTTCTTACTAGGTTTTGAAATTCTGTGTCTCTTTTTAACAGATTTTGACTTATAATTTGCATACCATAAAATTCACTCAATTCAAGTGTACGATTCAATGCTTTTCTTACTAAAGTTACAGAGTTAGATAACCACAATCTCATTTTAGAACATTTCAACCCACCAAAAAAGAAAACCTCAAATCCACTGGCAGATCCTCTCCTTTCCCAGCCCCCACCCCCAGCAACCACAGATCTACTTTCTGTCTCCAAGGATTTGCCTTTTCTAAACATTTTATATATGGAATTTGTATCACTCCGTGATCCCCCACTCTGGAACACACCTTTACAGTGGTTCGCAATTTGGGGGACACGAGTTCTTTAGAAAAATCCGTGGAAGGCTTTATGGATTGGAGTAGGTAGAAAGGAAAAAGAGAAAGACAAGGACATGAGAGAGGTGGCCGGCCCACTGCAAAAGTGTCGACTCTGCTGCATGAGACACCTCCCTGCCATATCCATAGCTGCTGTTCGCTCAGCGGCACCCAAGCTGGGGCCTGCCTTCTCAGCCAGGGTTCTTCCACAATCTCCAGATGCCCATAACAACCAAGCCTGGGCTGAGCTGAGCAGGCAAAGATTGGGTGTAGTATAGATTCAAGGAGGTTGGACAAGAGATCCAGGTAGACCAGAAAGCCTGACTGGGACCCTGATCATCCAAGCCAGAAATGGGCAAAAGTGCAAGAATCCAGTGAGTGGTCAGGACGCAGAGCGATGACTGCCAGTGAGAAAAATTTCCCCCTTGGTGACAGGGGACCAAGAAAGGCTCCAAGCCCTGAAAAACTGTTTACTGAACAGAAGTATCATTTGAGACAGAGAGGAACTAAGATAAGCTATCAGCAAATGTGTGACTTATGGATTTCTTGAACCTTCTTTCATTCAATACCTATCTACTGATCAGCTATTGAATGCCTGGAGAGTTACAGTACCTGATCTCCCCAAGCTTACATTTTAGAAAGAAGAAGAGACAATAAGTAAGAAAACTATAACTAGCAAGGCAACTGTAGATAATATTTTATATGAATGAATGAATGAATGAATGAATGAATGAATGAATAAACAAACAAACAAACAAGCAAATAAATAAAACAAGAGGTCGGGCTAGAGAGAGACTATTGGTGGGAATGGGGCTACTTTAGCCAGGGTCGAGGAAGGCCTCTCTCAGCTCTGACGTCTGAGCTGAGACCTTGAGGATATGAAGCCAGGGAGGGTGGCAGGGGCCAGAGCATGCACGACATCTGCAGAGCAAGGTAAGGACTTCAGAATTATCCCAAGTGCAATAAGAAGTCTCTGGAAGGTTTTCAGTATAGGAGAAACAGGACCTGATTTTCTTTTCAAAAGTGTCTGTGTGGTTATTAATGATATATTCATTAATGTGTCTTTCAACTCTAAAAGTCTTGCTCTTGAATAAGAAGAACAGAGATGTGTCTCCAGCTTCAAGACACTGCCTCGGCCCCCAAACTTGCAGATGGTTCTCCCAGTGGCAGCCTGAGTGGTGAAGGAAGGAGAAAGCAGAGGGGGAAAGGGACTCTGTGATGACAGGAAGGATGAATGGTGCCATCTCTCCAGGCACCTGAGGCCTCAAAGACCCTTCCCCAATGGCCACCTTCTCCCCAAATCTACCCAACTGCCAGCCCCAAATAGTGTTATCACCTAAAACTCTTTTGAACCCTACTCTCTTCATTCCTATTGCTTTTGTTTTGATTTTGTCTTGATTTTGTCTTGATTTTGTCTTGATTTTTGTCTTGATTTTGGGACACATAGGCCAGTTCCCGACACTTAGGTTTGTTTAGCACACAAGGTTTAAAAAAATAAAAAATAAAAACAGGAGGAGTGGCTTTTTAAGATTAAAAGATTTAACATAAAAATTCTGATTTAAAAAAAAATCGCCCTTGTGGCAACAATGGGCCTCGACCCTGCGTGACAACATTCAACTGGAGCTGCCCCTCTTGGGGCATGTACTCTCTAGTTTTCCACTGTCCCCACCCCTCCCCAATCATTCCACCGCTCACAATTGGACAGGTGTACGGCCACTTATCGTCTCATCTGCCCTACTGTTTTCCTTAGGATAATGATGATGACGGCGGTACAACAGCTAACACTTTAAAGGACTTCTATGTGTCAGGCATTATTGTAGCTTCCAGCACATATATAATTTGCCCAAAGTCACATACCGAGTAAGTGATGGAGCCAGAATTTGAATGTGAAACCAGATCATCTGGCCCTCAAAGGTCTATGCTTTACCCGACTCTCTAAACAAAAAAAGTGGGAAATGGAAGAGCAAGAGAGCATCTTGATTTTTTCTTCCATGACAATCACTTCTGGCACTACCTGACCCGTGTAGGTACCTAAGTTTGGGACCCCCTTATCCAGATTTTCATCACCTCTCATGTAGATGACAGCTCCAACCTCCTAATTAGTCTCTCCACTCCTTGTCTTGCCCTCACTTGCCCACAGATTCTTCCCCATATTGACCCAGAAGGAACTTTCTAAATTAAAAATCTGATATCGTGCTCCCCATCTTTCAATGACACCCCACTGCCTCTAAGACATTGCATCCGACCTTGCCCCAGACTGCCTATACTAGGCTCAGCTCTTGCTACTTCACGCCTTACACCAGGCACTCCAACCTCACCAAAATACTTTCTTCTTCTTCTTAAACAATGCATATACTTTTGTGCCTTCCCCTGTCTGCAGTGCCCTTTCACCTCTGACCCTTCAGTCTGGTCGACTCCTGCTCGACCTTCAAGACTCAATTCAAATATCCCCTCCACCGTAATGTCTTCTCTGACTCTCCTGGGTTCCTTCCTCTCAATTCTCTTAGTACAGTGCAGTTGCTTTTACTGAGTACTTAATTTTAATTTACAACTACATCATACTGTATTGGGTAGGAACTTCTTTTGGCTGCATACAGAGATCTGAAGAATAATGGCAGAAAAAAGATGCAAGTTTATTTTTCTTGCTGATTAAAGAAGACCAGCCCATGGCTGGTAGAATGACTCCAAAAGGTTATCGAGAATCCTAATCCCTTCTGTCTCTCTTCTCCACTGTGCTTAATAGCACTTCATGATCCAAAATGGCTGCCGGGATGCCAGTCATCACAGCCACATTAGAGTCTGGAAGCAGAAGGAAGTTGGCAAAGGATGAAAGTACCCAGTCCCAGATGAGTTTAAGCAGCCTTCTCAGAAGCTCCACACACTTCTACTAAAATCTCATTGCCCGGAATTTAGACATAGGGCCATGCCTAGCTACAAAGAATGTCGGGAAATTGGATTAGTAAATGCTCCCCGTTGTACACACACACACAAACACACAGTATATGCAAAGACATAGACACGAATTATTTATTTCATAATTTCTATTATTAAGGAAGAAAGGGAAAAGGAATGGGAGCTCTCCACAGGCGTGGAACAATGTCTTACTCACCTTCACCCTGACACACAGAAGATGCACAATGGCCAGGAAATGCATTTCCACCAGAGACCTACGTCACAGAGATAAAGTCCTCCTACTCCCACCCCCCCCACCCTTTTCCTCTGTTTACACTTTAACCTCCATCCCATTTGTCACAGCCTCGATAAAAGTAGATTAATTTCCCAGACTTCAATTGCCTTCTAAAAACCTCTGCAAAATTGATTCTGAATTCATGAATCCTATCCTGAGAGACACATCATTTGACCAAGGTCTAATTTCCAGGGCTGGCTGCAGAATGAAGTCTTTGTGGGTGCAAATCACTGAGGACAGCAGGTTGTGGCCTCTCCGTGGACTGATCCCCTCCCCAAATCAATGGTGGGGGGGATTCCCGAGGAACCAAAGTTCAGGCTGATCCTTCTGCCGATCTTGAAGCTCCCATCCTTAGAACTAACTGTTAGAGGAGAAACTCACTTAGATAATAACTCAAAAAGAGGGGTCCTATGCCAGCTAATATTCTCCCTCAATCCAATTCCATACAACAAAAAGACCTCTCCTATTTTCCCCCAAATAGAGGAAGAAATGGGTTTAGTCACTTAAGACTAAGATCCTTAGACAGGCTAGAGATGGAAGACGGAGGAAGGAAGTCAGAATTTTCGCTTTGAAGACAAGGTTTGGTATTTGAAAATATGGGATGCCACTGTCTCAAGCAGTGTGTAACGACACCCCGAAAGTCCTAGGGACTGAGAACTGAGCGGGTTCCCTCTGAGTGCGGGCACCCATCGCAGGGCTGTCTTCCTCGGAGAAACTCTCCATTATGGCACCCGCACCCTTTCCAAACAGGTCTCTTCTCTCAGGTAGGCTTGAAGAGTAGATGGGGCCTCACAGCCCCAAGGCTTTATTCTATTTCGCACATGTCCAACCTCAGCTATGCAGATGAAGATTAACATTGGGGGACGCCATTCCTGCCCAGAGGCATTATTGGCAAGCAGAGAAAAAAATTATGGAGTATTAAGTGATGTGTGGAGCTTTAGACACGATCCTCTAGGAAAGCTGCCCAATGTGCCATTTGGGGTCATTTGCTGGTATCCACCCGCTCTCCCCCGCCCCCAGGCTGGTGGAGAAGTCAGATGTTGCTGCGTGGTTTTCAGGGAAGGGGAAGAAAGTGGAGGAACCAACCACAGCTCCCTCACTAACAGGCTTCTGGACACACCCCAAGGACTCTAGGATGTGTGGCAGTAGGGGGTAGGGTAGGCACGATAAGACAAAGACGAAGGTCAGATTCAAGTCAAATGGAATTATGACCACACATTACTAGGAAAACAAACTACTTGGGAATGAGGAAGGTGGAGTGGAAAGGGCTAAATGTTGATGTTTATCACAGCCTAGATGGCTCCAAGGTCACTAGCACCCAATAGCTGCATTCATAAACGAGGCTAGACACAAATGGCCTTAGGAAGCACTGGGCTTTACCCTTCCAGGTGTGGCTTCTGAGACAGGAGCCTGAACCGACCACAGGCACCTACTGAAAGTGAAAAGTGTCTCCGCCGGCATTGTCCTCCTCTGCTGACACCCCAAATCTAACTCGCTGTCTCCCAAATCTTTCCCTCGTTTTCTCCTTAGTCATTCAGGTATTTATTCGGCAATAAATTTCGACTGAGACCCATAAACAACAAGCACAGTGCCAGGTACTTGCAAATCTGTATCCATAAAAAACACTTAGGACGTCCATGCTCCCACTTTTCTTGAAGCACACAGCTTACTCCAAATACAGTTCATCGTTTAAATTCTGCGAGTGTCACCGTATCAGTTTCCTGGAGCTGCCATGACAAAGTGGCACAAACTGGGTGGCTTACAACAACAGGAATGGATTGTCTCACAGTTCTGGAGGCTAGAATTTGAAATCAAGGTGTCAGCAGAGCTGTGCTTCCCCTGAAACCTGTAGGGAAGGACCTTCCTTGCCCTTTCTAGCTTCTGGTACTCGTTGGCAAGCCTCGGCAGTTTGCCTTGTAGATGCGTCATCAGTCCAATTTCTGCCTCTGTCACCACATGGCCATCTTCTCCTGTGTCTCTCTCTCCCCTCTTATTATATTGGATCGGGTGCCCACCCTACTCCAGAATGACCTCGCCTTAACTAATTACGTCTTACCTATTTCCAGGTAAGAATGTGACTAATTCCCATTCAGAAGTCCATATCTTTTGAGAGGACATAATTCAACCCAGAACAGTCAGATACAAAGAAATATCTCTACACTAGGTAAAAAGCAACAATATTAGGGATGGAATAAAAGTCGACCAATGCAATGAGGCGTGGTGGGTGCCGCGGGGAGCTGGAGAGTACACGCCTGGCTAAAGGTCACAGCCAGGGTGTGGCAGGAATAAGCCCGCCATCTCGGATTCTTTCCTGGGGAAGCCAGAGGTCAAGGTCTGGAATTTTATGTGAAACCTTCCAGTTTTAAAAGATTGGCAACTACAGCGAATCAAATCAAACATATCTGTGAGTGATATTCGGCCCATGGATCACCAGTTTGGAACATCAGGTCTACGGGATCAGAGAGGGTTTCCTGAACAAGACGATTTCTTCCCGGAGTTGGAAACAGTTCTCTCTGGCTACAGCAGAGTTTAAGGCAGGGGCGGGCATGAGATGAGACAGGAGAGAAAAAAGAGCAGCCTGATCCTACAGAACCTCAGGGACTATGCAGAGGGATTTAAATGTTGCCCAAAGCCAAATGGAGAGTCTGCTGAAGGGTGTTAAGCAAGGGAGTGACAAGGTCAGATTTAGGACCTACCAAACACTACAAGCCTCTGCTGCTTCTGGACCCCGATCCCATCCCTCTCCAGCTCCCCAACAGTCAGAAACAGAGGCAAGCAACATCAGGCCAGGGGCTGGACCCTGCCCTGCACAATCCTGTGTCAAGAGAGCCCTCCCAACGGTGACCTCCCATGTTCCCATCAGATCTGCAGAAGCTCCTGGAGATGGTTTGGGAAGAAGCCCGGAGGACAATTATGATGGATAACGAGATGCAAAAAAAGGCGCCCAGGTATGTTCTCTTGACTTCTAGGGCGAGTAAAGGATAGCAGAATAACAGCGGTGACAGCGATAGCCGTTCCCAGTCATCGAGCCTTTTCTCTGAAACAAGCACCGAGGGGTGTGTACTTCCACGAGTAACATCTCCCCGGGTTCTTACAACCACTCTGCAAGGTAGGTATTATTATCTCTTTATTTCACAAGTCAGGAAATGAGGCTCAGAGAAGGGAAGGATCTTGTTCAAGGTCACCCAGCTCATGGTATAACCGCGACTTGAACCCGAACCTTTCTAATTCCGAAAAACCATTCTCTACCACTCTGCTACATTGCAACCCAGGGATCCTTGGGTTATTCATTCATTCTGTTAGTGAATATTTATAAGTATGTATGGGCTATATACTAATTATAGAGGGAAGGGTTCTGGAAGGAAAACTCAGACCTGTGAGAGTAAATAATAGGGGTATCCAGTCTCATCTGGGATGGGGATCAGGATCTGAGAACTTTCCTCCAAGGAAGAAACTTTAAGCTGAGATTTTGAAGCATGAAAGTTAGCCGGTCAAAGTTGGGGGTAGGACAGGCAGGGGGCAGAGGAGAACATTATAGGCAGCACATGTGCAAATATGGTCAAAAGGGACCATGGCACCTTCAAGGAACTAAAATGCAGCCAAAAATGGATGGGAAGAGGTGCAAGTCTGTCTGGGGACCTTGGAGGCCTCCCCGAGGATTCTGATGTCGATCCTAGAAGAAACAAAAATCCTTTGAAGTTTCAAGCCAGAGACCAATGTGATTGGCTCAGGGGGTCACACTTGAACCTGAAGTGTCTTCTTTCTGGTGGGAAGCCTTGTCCACAGACTGTCTGACCTCTAAAAGCCTGGGAGAGCACACTGGCTAGAGCTGGAGTTCCCTTCCCAAGTGTTGATCCCTCTGAGTAAGCAAATTACTGCCTGAAAATAAATGAGGCACTAGAAGTGGTTCATCATCGCCTTCAGACCACTGAGATGCCGGCTATGACTTATCGGTTATTGTTATTACCATAATTACAGCTCACCAAGCACTTTTACATGCATCACACCCCGCCTCCGCTTGTAATGATGAATTTGTCTGCTCCTGCCTCAACTCGCATCAGGGCTCCGGAGGGTGGCACTTGCAGGCACTCAAAGACAATGCTGGCCCTTAAGGCCCTGGTCACTGTGCCTGATTTATCAGCATTAGAAACAGGCAATAATGATGAAACATCGGCTCCATGAGGCTCCTTCCTTTGTAAGAAATCATAGTGTGAACACTGGCTTTGTTTTGTTTTTTTTTTTTGTTGTTATTATTATTTATGCCTACAGCACTTGGTCTTCCTAGGTGGTCTCCCATCCAAGTACTAACCAGGCCCGACCCTGCTTAGCTACTGAGATCAGACATCAGGCTTGTTCAGGGTGGTATGGCCGTAGACCATGGACCATGGCTCCACTGGGGCGCAAACCCAGGACATTCTTCGTGTAAAGCAGACATGCTAACCGCTACACTATAGAACCATGTCTGAACACTGGCTTTGGAGTCAGACTTCTAGGGGTTCAAAATCTAGTGCCCTTGAATTAGTCACTCAGCCTTTCTCTAAACCTCGGTTCTCTCATCTATGAAATGAGATTGTACAGGATCAAAGCATTGGCCTTGGAAACAAACAGACGAGGGTCAATCTCCACTCCCATCATTTAATTGCTATGTGATGTTGAGTAAGTTGCTTTACCTCTCTGAGCCCAATTGCCATTCCGTAAAGTGAGGCTCATTAACAATCTATCTCAAAGGGATGTAGTGGGAATTAAATGATATTACCCCAGTAAATTATCATTACTGTTATGGAAATAATGTCTACTCGAATGAGTCATTTTAAGCAGTCAGTGAGATAAACGCATTTAACATATTAGAATGTGCCCGGCATACTGGAAGCTCTCAATAAATGGCAGTGTTGGGGATGGTTATTAGTTTTATTTCACACACAGTGTCCCACGAAATACTCGCAGCACCTCGATGAGGCAGGTTCATCACCCGTTACCCATCGCCATCGCCCCACCTCACAGACAGAGATGAATGGCAATGAGTGACCTGCATGAAGTCGTCAAAGATAAAAACCGCGCGGGAACCTAGTTCTCACAAAACTCTGCAGTCGCAGCTAATGATAAAATAACCATGGTTACAGAGCCAGAACCTGTTAAAATTTCCCATCCTCATCATTTCCTCTGGGAGAAAAATCTCCCTAATCTCTCGCTAAGGCAGCAGATATTGAAGGCTCCTCCGTGCTGCCGCAGAGGGACAGTTAGGATGAGCTTCGGGTTTCCTTTCGCCCTCCTCGCTTTACAATCCTGATTCCCTTTTTTCACTGTGGACAACAAATCTGCTCCCATCAAGGCTTACATAGAATTCTGGGGTTTTTAAGAACCCCTAAAAGCCAATCTACCCAACCCCCCAGCCTCAAGGCCAAACCTCTATTATCTATCATAGCCCGTTTGGGCTGCCCTGACAGAATGCCATAAACGGAATAGTTTATAAACAGACATTTACATCTCACAGTTCTGGAGGCCGGAAGCCCAAGATCAAGATGCAGTGTCCGGTGAGGGTCCGCTCCCTCACAGACAGCTGTCTCCTCACTGTAACCTCACGTGGTGGAAAAGACGAGCTAGCTCTCTGGGGTCTATCATAAAAGGGCACTAATCCCATTCATGAGAGCTCCACCCTCATAATCTAATCACCTCCCAAAGGCCTCACCTCTTAACCATCACCTTGCGGGGTTAGGACTTCGCCACCAGAATTTGGGGAGACACAAAACATTCAGACCATAACATCGTCTAGGAAGACAGCCTTTTCTTAAATTCCTCCGTCAGTGTTTTCCAAACATCCCTGAAGATCAGACTCAGCTGGGGTGCTCATGAAAAAAATACAAATTCCTAGTCTTCATCCCAGACCCGCTGAACCAGAATCTCAAGAGAAAACTGTATTTTTAAAAGGCATTATTTCACGATATGCTGAGAAATTCTAAGGTTTCAAAAATACACTCTCTGCACACACGCATCAGAAGCGTGTGTGTGTGTGTGCGCGCGCGCGCGTGCGTGTGCATGTGTGGTTTTAAATGCAGCTTCTGGGGTAAGACTCTATCCCAGACCTAATGTATCCAACTCTGCAGGAGTATGGTCCAGGAATCTATATTCCTGGCAATCTCTCCAGGTGATTCCTATATCCGGTAGCATCTAAGGAGCCCTGCTCTAGAAAGAGAATGCTTCATCCTCCTGCAGATAACTGCCTCAGGAGCACTGTAGGTTTGCTGCCTTATTAACAGACTCACTTTGCTTTGCAGTTTCTTGTCAATGATCAAACAAATCAAGAGTGATTCTGCCTATAAAGACATGCAAACCACCCACAAATCAAGGTAGGAAGGCCTGGGGCCTGCAGCAGGTGGGTTGGGAGGCATCCCACGGTTACAGGGGCCATTGCAGAGATGCTCCTCACCAAACTGTGGAAAGTGGGGCAGGGAGCGGGCAACTTTTCCTTCTTCACTGGAAATAAGCCCCTAAACTCTCAGGGTTGGGAGGGGAGTATGCAGGCATTCCTCCCCAACAACTGTATACCACACGGTCAAAATCCTCCAGTAGTGGAGGGATAAAGTAGGCAGGGCACTGTATAAGACCAGTCTTTCCCTTTTTACTTGGGTGACTTATAATGGGAGAGGGGAGATCTGCCCCGCCCCCATTTCATTTATTCATCTCAAGAATGTTTATCTGTGTGCCAGGAACTGTGCTAGGTTTGGGGGGATTCAGTAGCGAATAAGACAAACACAGTCTGCCCTTATGGATCTCACTGCCTGGACTGGGGTGATAACTTTTACATGACATCAACCCTTTGACAGTCTGAGGAAGCCTATGGATCCTTTCAGAAAAATGCTTTTAAATGCATACTATAAATTACATAGGTTTACAAAGAAATCTATAGCAATATAGACGACGTTATTAAAACCAAATCTGGGGTGTAGTAATCTACGAGCTCCTTCCACGATGCACTCTACAGCAAGACTCGGCAGCAGCTCCAGCAACTACCGTAATTTTGGATTAGTGTCGAGTGTAAATGATTTCTCAAAATATCTCCCACAATTGTACTGTGATGTGCAAATACCTGTGATTTCCATTTCTGCTCAAGCCTAGTTAAAATAAAGATGTGACCTTTTTCCATCTGCATTCTCCCCGAATCCTGCGCACGGTTGAGAACTGCCGGTCTAACGAGAGAATCGTGCGTTTATCGAATAAATCCACAGACTTAGCTGTATAATCATGACTACAGAAAGCGTTCTGCAGGAGAAGTAGGGAGGATTAGGTGAACATTGAGCACCAGGAACCAGACCAAGACTGAGTTTGACATTTAAGCTGAGGCTTGAAGGAAAAGGAAGAAAAATCTAGCCCACAACTGGGAAAGGTGGAAATAGTGTTCCAAGCTGAGGGAATGTCATGTGCAAAGGGCCTGAGACAGGAAGCAACTCAGAGGCACGGAGCAAAGACCAGTATGGCTGAAACTCAATGAGAGCCAAGGAAAGGGGAGGTTGAGACAAGCAAAAGAGTCTTTTGCTGTTTATTTCTGTTTGTTTGCTTGTTTATCATAGCTAAAAACACAACTTCTCTCACTTCTCACCTCCTCCCTAAGTCACAGTGTCAGCCGTCAGCAGGAGAAAGTCAAAGCCAACACGCTCCCCCAAAGAATTCATCTAGAGGTTGGGGTAGCTGGGTAATGCTAGCTGAGATGCAGAGCCCCCGTAATAATACCCAGAACACAAAGCCTTCTGGGTATTATTACGGGGGCTCTGCATCCCAGCTAGCATTTGATAAGCATTTGATCCAACACCTGCCAGGTCTAAGACCTCTAGGTGCAGTCCCATGAGCCTCTGTGAAAAGCAGCAAAGGCCGGGACCTTTCCTGTGGAGAGAGGTCTGGGAAAGCACCAGGCCTGCTTCCTTAAGAAGTTCCAGATGTCACAAGGCCAAGAGGGAAGGGCTAGCTACACATCATAGGGGCAAGAAAATCAGTCTTACCCGCTAGAACCACACAGATAAAGTAGTTGAGTCCATTTTTGAGGCGTTTGGAAGAAACGAAGGAAGGCAGCGTGGGAGAGAAGGTGCTGAAGGCCCAGGTCACAAAAGGGGGACCTGGGAGAAGGTGTGGAGAGGGATAAGTATGAGCAAGGGAGCTCCACAGCCCCCACCAGGAACCCTGGCCAGACAAAGCCACAGGAGGAAGCAGCCACTCAAAGGATTCAATCAGCCCCCATGTAGAAAGGGTCAAATGGCATGAGAAGTTGATTGGTCACAGATGAAAAAGCTGACAATCCAGAGCAGTGTTACTTGCCCACAGATGGGGAGGTGGTGTTGCCAGGGCTGAGCTTTGAATCCAGCTCTCCCTCCAAAGTCAAGTGAAATGGGTGTTCTACTCAAGGGTCCAATTTAGAGAAAAGAATCCTTGAAGGAAGAGGCGGTCTGGGGTCAGAAACACCCAAGAGAGCATGCCTGGGAGGACTCAACCATCTCTTCACCAAATCTGCTCTCAGCCCCAGGTTAAGTGCTGATGTATGTATAGAGAGGAGGATGGGAGCGTCCACAATGAACTTGTCTTCCAGGTAGAGAGAACGATTTTATACAAACGAAACTGGGATCCAGAAAATGTGTCATTCTGCCAACTCTCAGAGGCAGGTCAACATTGGACTAAGAGAGTCGGAACAGGGAGAACTTGCTATAGACCGTGAAATATTGTAGGATTTGAGCGGGTGGAGAAGAAACAGGGAAGACTCTCCAGGCAGGGGGGTACGGTAGGAGCAAAGGCCAAAAGGTGGGTGACGAAAATACACACTGAGTTCTATGACTGCTGCCTTGGTTAGAACCGCCTCCCTTACCTGAATCCTAGAGGCTAGCAGGGGTCATTGGGACCTTGGAGGTGCCCTTTTTGTGAAAAGCAGGCTCCAAGCAACTCGAAACCATCCCTTTGTGTTTCAGCGACAGATCCAGCAGTACAAGTGGAGAAAGCCACAGCCAACCAATCCAGAAGAAGTTTAAAAGGTAGGCCAGATGGGTGACGGAAGGAGATGGGCAAGAGGAGCTGTGGTGACCGCACCCTCTATCTTCCCAGGGGTGTAGAAATAACGCAAGGCAGACCAGACTCCCCGAAGCCATAGACACTGCTGAAGGACGAGGAATTCCCTGGGCAAGGGGCTCGTGGTCAGGATGCAAGAAACAACTCTGACAATGGCAACTAATTTCTCCTCCGTGCCAGCCCCTGAGCAAAGCATGCTTTATTCATTATCTTGTTCCTCAAAAGCAATCCTGTGAGGTGGCGACATTATCGCATTCTACAGAGAAGCCAATGAAATGTCTTGCCCGACCCACAGAGCTCAGAAGGGTGGCACTGGAGTTTGAACCTGAATCTCCCAGCTCCAAATTCCATCTTCATCTGAGAGTCCTTAACATTTACTGGGCTCAAGTGACCAGACAGCTGTCTGTGGGCTCATTTAATAAGGCCTGCACCACCAGCCTGATGCTATTGAGAAGACCTGTCCTTCCCACATGCAAGGGAATGCTGGGGGAGGCTCCAGGTTGAGCAGAGAGCCCAGGTGGATATAGGGAATCCCTACTGAAGGGGCCTACCTTGGGGCTCAGAGATGCCAGCCTCATGGGTTTGTCCTTTGGGCCCGATCCCCCAAGCCCTTCTCATCTGTGTCTACAGCCGCACCAACCGTGACATCATCCACTCCAAGAGTGGGGTGTGTAACGCCATGAGGGCCAAGTTTTACAGTGTGGCCCAGGAGGCCGGCTTCTGTCTGCAGGACAAGATGGAAATCCTCATGAAGTAAGAACACATGCAGATCCATTCGGTCTAAGGACATTTACCTGGCACCTACTATATGCCCGCCCGATGCCAAGTGCTAGGGAACAAAGGCATGTTTCTTGCGCTTGAAAAGTCACCGGAGAGAAGAAGGGAGAGGGGAGGTAGATAGGGGTAGAGGGGATCAAATATCTGGTGGCAGAAGGAAATTTAACCTTGGGTGGTAAACACGCAATGCGCTGTATGTATGTATGTATGTATGTATGTATGTATGTATGTATGTATGTATGTATGTATATGACTTGAAACCTATTTGATTTTATTAGGCAATGTCACCCCAATAAGTTTAAGGAAAAAACTATTCATAGGTTAATGAAGAACAATACTATAAATAAAATATTACCAAATTTCTTTAGCCAGAAAAAAAAAAAAAAGCTCATAGTCTCTCCTGGAAAATAAAGGCAGAAACAAAATAATTGAATTAATTAGTATATAGGTCCAAATTATGATCATTGCCATACCAAAAGGACCTGATTTAGGCTGGGTAGTCTGAGAAGACCTCTCTAAGGAGGCGACTTTAAGGCTGAACCCTGAAGGATAAAGAGGTACTGGTGGCAAGATGAGATAGTGGAAGGACATTCCAGCCAGCAGGAAATGTGCCCACAAAGTCCTAAGGCTGAAAGGGACATGGAAAATTTGAAGAGCACTGAGAAGTGGTCGGTGAGAGCTACATCATGCGCAGCCATGAACTTCATAATTAAGACTTGGAACTTGATCTTTTTAAGAGCACCAGGAGGCCACCAGAATCTTTTCTTTTTCTGTTCTGACAGCCCAATAACTTCCCCGCTTCCCAGCCTACCCTTTGAATGTAGTGACCATTCACCCCAACGAACTCATCCATTCAATGAAGGTTGCCCTTTCAGCATGGATGGGCTACCGGCTCTGGGCCATGGGTTCAGGGATGATTTGTCCCCACTTTCTGGGAGCTTCGAGTCCAATGAAGGAAACAGACAAGGAAATAGGCGATTACCACCCAAGGCAATGAGGGCCACTAGGGGAGCGAGCAGGGGGCTAAGGGAACCTAGGAGAAGGATGTGCTGCCTAGCCTGGGACAGCAATCAGAAAGGTCTTCCTGGAGGAAAGGACATTTTCAGTTTAACAAAAATAGTTGCTATTTCCAGGGCACTTACTATGTCCCCTCTCATGGGTGAAAGAGCTTCATGTTCATCATTTAGTCCTCACAACAATTCTGTAGGGTAGTTGCTGTTATTAGACCCGTTTTATAGATGAGAAAAGTGGGCTCAGAAATGTCTCTTATTGAAGGTCACCGAGTTGTTAAGGAGTAAAGGTGGAATTTAAACCCAGAGAGTCACACAGGAAAAGTAGGAGGGAAGAGAGTTCCAGAGAAAATCAACAGCAAAGTCCCAGAGGCCATAAGGGTGGGCCAGGATCTGCCATTAACCAGGTGTGACTGGGGCTTTGGCTGCTTGCAAGGTAATCAGGAATAGACAGAGGCCAGATCATAAAAGGCCTTACTAGCCTGGCTGTGGAGGTTGAATTTTATCTCAGAGATTTTGATCATGAGCCAAAGCATATATTGCTGAGAAAGAAGGGATGGGAGGGATGAAGATGAAAGTGGAAAATATTGTAGGGGCTGAATAGTCCAGTGCCTTGGAGGGCAAGTTACTCACAGGACTTTATTCTCAGTAAAATGGGAAGCCACTGAAATTCATATATAGGTGAGTGACATGGTTATATTCATAATATAAAGTCTCCTTGGAAAGACAGGACACATGCACAAAATGATAAGGGAGAGGGGAAGAGAGGAAACAATGAGTTAAACACCTACTATGTGTCTGACACTAAGCTCAGCACATTACACATATTATATTATTTGATTCTCACCTCCGAAAGCTAGGAATCATCATTATCCTCCATTTAACAGATGAGAAAGCGAATACGACCAAAACTAGAGAGAGAATCAGGGCTAATTTTATTTGAAAAATTAAAAAGTGACTGGATTAAGCAAGAAAAGAACATTTCAGCACCTTGGAGAGAGCTGTATCATCTTGCAGCCGAGCCAGATTGTAAATTAAGGAGCAGCAGGGAAGGTTAAGAAGGACCTCACAAAGCCACAGGTGTTTAAGTCAGATCTCAAAGGCCAGCTAGGATGGTTATGGGAGAAACAGATCTGACCCTTCTTCCTCTTTCTCATACAACCTGTGATGCAGGCGCCAAGAAGAGAGAGGTCTCCAGAAGTTCCATTCTTTTGTCCTCGTCTCCAATTTTCAAAAGGATATAGCAAAAATGAGACGCCAAATCTCCACCGTAAAAGGAGATGCAGAAGAAATTGCAGACCACTGGTAACGCTCCTGAGAACCAGATAAGATGGTCCTTGACGGAGATGGAGGGGGTTACACAATCACATTTGATCCCATTATCCTTCAAGATAGAGAAAGACATTGCTCCGAAACTGTCCTGGACCACCAGTAGGGCCCCCCAAACAGGCTATGTCCATAGCGCAATCAGGCAAGAACCCCCTCAGTTCCCGAAGCACAGATAATCCAACCAGCTCTGTTCTCCATATTTATCTTGTGTTCAATTCAGCCTTGCAAATAAGGACTAACTCCCCGGCCCCTATGGGAGCAGCAAATGAGGCAAACCATCCTGAAGACTTCTAGATTCTGAGGTCTCTGGGGCGATCGCTATATTTCCCCAAGTAATTTAAGCCTTTAAGGATATAAAACTGGGCAGGCATATCCTAGGAACACTGTGCCCACAGCACAGCGGCGATAATAAATACAACAAAGATCAACATGAACTGAGTGATTCTTGGATGGCAGACACCACCCTAAGCAATTTTCATACATTATCTACTTTATTCCCCACAAAAATCCAGAAGGGTACATATTAACCCCCACTCTACAAACAAGGAAACTTCAGGATTTAAAGCCGTGCCTGACCCCAGTCTCCGTGTGGTCATCCACAACACAGAACTAGAGTCTAAAGAACTGTGATTTCATGAACCTCATCCTGGCAGGGTGAGTCAATCAAGATCTAAGAGTAAGATGAGAAAGTCTACAATTGTACCCAGAATCCCTTCCATGATTTTAATAATGTGGAACGGGAGCTTATATATAAAGAGACATAAATACATACATAAATATATATATATCATAAAACATAAAACATAAAGCAGCAGAAGGAGCCCAAAATGTATGGTGGATGATCAATACCTTCTTTAAATTTTTCTACTGTGTGTGTATATAGGGAAAAACTTTTTTTTTTTTTTTAACAAAAGAGCTATCATTCCCCCTTGCCTTTTTTAAAAGACATACCTTAAACTCTGATCACACCTGCACCACCTCCAGGTTAGACTCTACCTTGTTCCCACCATCTTGAGAAACTACCCTCACACTCTGTCACAGCATTCAGGAGGGTTCTCAAAATCCACTGGAACACACCAAGCCGTGGCCCAAGCTTACTCACGATGAGGGACCTGGGAAATATGCACATACTTCCTCCCTCCACCCTCTATCTCGCATGTGAGAGCCTCCTGCATTCTGGAAGGTACCCCACAGTTGTATCCATGTGATGTCCTCCCTGGCCCGACGAACGCTCAAAAGTGAAGCTTCAAAATCTCAGTGTCCCTTTTCACATCGTCTGCTTGTTGGAAAAATCATACATGCATCTCTTTAAAGCATGTCCCTACTTTTTTTTTTTTTAATGAGAATCCAAACCATGCTCCAGCTTTTATCACTCTTAAAAATTAACAATTTGCCCAATTTGGGGGCCTTTTACATTTAGGATGGAGGAGAGGCCCCCAGATAAAGGCTGACGCTGCCCTGGAGACACCACATGATTAGTAGAAAGAGAGTGGATAGGACGACCTGACTTGATGTGCCCAGACCTAATTTCCAGCAGCTCCCTAATTGGCCCTCTCTTCTTGAAATCGAAGGTACTTTGATCTGCTGTCCAAACTCCCTGAAGATCTGAAGAATTTCCGTCCCGCCAAAAAGATCCTGGCAAAACTGCAGAAGTTTGGGGAAAACCTGGACTTGAGGATCAGGCCCCACGTCCTCCTCAAGGTGCTACAGGATCTGAGAATCTGGGAACTGTGCTCTCCAGACATTGCCGTGGCGATCGAGGTAACCACCACAGCCTTCCCCCCTCGCAATGCCTTGGGTGCCCTCACCCGATCACCCCTCAACATCCAGGCACTGCTTAAGTGCTGAGGACACAATGAAAAACACATAGAGATCTCTGCCTTCGCAGAGCTTATCATCTGATAGAAGAGGGGTTGTCACATGACCTTGGTCGTTCAACTCCAGGGGACATCATATTCTTTGTTAAATGGTGCCCCCTGGAAACTTGGAGGCTTTGGAGGGACATAAATAAATGGACAAGTGGATAAAGTAACTGGCAAGCGTAATAGGGAGCCCTCTAAATCTGGCTACTAAAATTGTGGCCCATGGACCAGCGGCACAGACCTCACCTGGGTGCTTATTAGAAATGCAGAATCTCGGGCTCTAAACCTTATCTACCTACTCAGAATCTGCATTTGAATGAGATCCCAGGTGATCTGTATGCACAGCGATTTAAGGTAAAGGTAGAGGGTACCTTTCCTAATTAGGGTGACTGGGGAATGTGACTTTTAAGCTGAGACATGAATGATGAAAAGACAGCACCATGAAGAGAAGGAGAAAGGCTAGGTCAAGAAGAGGGGACAGCACATGCAAAGGCCCCAGAGCTGAAGAGAACTTGACTTGTTGGAGGAACTCACTGGTAGTCAATGGGTTTGGAAGAAAGCCAGCAAGGAAGTGCATGGTTCCAAGGGGATTAAAGAGGTCAGCCTGTGCAGACCTTTGAAGGTCAAGTTAAGGATTCAGATCTTTACACCAGGGTGCTGAGGTGTCGCTGTGTGGTTTTCCATGGTAGTTCACCATCACCGGCCCACTCTGGACGTTCCTAGTGCATCAAAAGGTTATCAGCAGATGGGGAAGGGAGACAATCTCCACACGAAGGTGTTAACAGATGTTAGTGGAGTCACTGCCTTAATTTTATCAGATGGCATATGTACATTCTAATAGGGCTTTCAATGCTCAAGATAAAGAAGTGAGGCAAATGGTGAAATCCTCATGCCTCTTGGCGCTTTCATGCCGTGTTGGCTCTTCCACAGGCTGACCTAGGTGTGTGTATGTGGGTGCAAGGTCAGAAGTGGGGGAAGGGGGATGACGCTGAAGACCAATTCATACATCCAGACTCCATTCCCTGCATCCTATAAGGATCTTTCCGGAAAGACTCTAGCTGATAGTCCAAAACTAACTGTCTAACCTCCACTTGTCAGTTATGGGGTCCACCTTCCACATGCCAGTTATGGGAGGTGTGGAAGTGGCAATCTCTAGTGGGTAAGAGGAGGAGGAAATGCAGGCTCCGCACCCCCCGCCCCACTTTCTGAGGTGAGTTCACAGCCCTAGCCAGTTAAACTTAGCATATTCCTCTCCCAGTGAGAACATCACAGAACTTCTGATCCCTGGATGTGGAGTGTCTTAATCTAGAATCCATATGAAACTACATTCTGTGTCTTACCCTTTCCTGGAAGCAAACCCATAGCTGTCATCAATTCTCAAAGGGATCTATGAACCAAAAGAAGTTTAAGGACAAAAGACTTTTTCAAAAGATATTAAGGAATAGAAAAAAGAGAAAAAAGCAGACAGCTAGGTTTTCTTGCTCTCCTCAAATTTCTTTGGATCGATATTAACAAGAAGGGACTTAAAATTAGCCGGTTGAACCAGGAAGCTAGAAAGAGATCTTTTTCTTAAGAAAACCACCCCCGGCGTGATGCTCCAGGCATTATGAGTGCTCCATCCTGGAGCCACCAGCCTTAGTCACAAATCTTCTAGGACCTGGGGGCTTGAGGGGCAAAGAGACCAGATTTCCCACCAAATCTGAGGCTGCCACTGTATTTGCCCCACAGTTTGTGCGAGAACACATTGTCCATATGCCTCAAGAGGATTATATCAGTTGGCTGCAGAACCGGATCAGCATCCCCATCCGGCCCTACAGTGCTCAGACGTAGTCTGGGTAGACCAGCTGTCCCAGTGGAGGAAGACTAGCCTATACTATGTTCCTGCTTCCCACCTATGTTCCTGCTTCCTGCCTAACCTCATACATACTCACTATGATGTAGTAAGTGTCATCTGGAGACTGACTTCTGGAAACATTCTAGAGGTTGATACTCCCAAGTGGAAATGCCCCTCAACCTCACACCTCCATTGCAACCTTCCAGTCTCTGTTCCTCACTGGTCCAGACTGACTCTACCTACTCCCTCTCCATATTCCTTCACCCTATTCCTCTGCCTCAAATTCTAGATAATAAAATTGAGCTGAA